CTCACGACAGAAGTGTACTCCGTCGCGACAGTACAGGTAGTCGTTGCCATAGAATCGTTGCCAGTTATCAACTCCACCATGGGACATAAACAGCGACTGTGAACATAGCAAACCGCTCTAACTTGCTGATTTGACTTTGGGAAACTGCTCTTTGATCTGGCCTGACAAAAGAACAATATTGAGGGTATAGAGCAGTTTTGCCATCCACCTTGCTTTGTGAAGTGCGCCGGGGTAGACCATCGTGAAGTTCACTGGCTCGGATCCTTTAGAAACAAGCAGCAGACAACACAAATACAGTGTTAGGACAGGCCAGGAATCCAATGCTCTGTTTGTTCATTTGAGGGATAACAAACATTGCATTGACTGGGATAATGCCTCCTCAATATTACCATGTAATTCAATTGATAGTAGGAACATCATAGAATCTAGTCTTATTAAACATACCGAAGCATTCAACATGAATTTGAGTAACGGCATGTACAAGCTGGACAATTTTGTAATTAAGAAGATTTGTCACCAGGTGAGAAGGCCGGGTCACCTGACCATCTGACCTGACCACCAACCGTTGTGTGCTATTTAAAGATTAGTAGGGTCATTACCTAATACCTGACCATTTTGGACCTGGTCTCACCTTCCTCTGTATATATACACCTTGATTTGTATTTCTCTCTCTAGTCTGTACTCACCCCTGAAGATGTGAATTACACGAAAGCGCTTGGGAACTTCGTGTTTTCTTCTTTCCTTGTGGTTATCAGTACGGATAACCCTGAATTTAATTTAGCAGCTACTTATGAACAATTTATTGCGACAATCAATAATGCCCAAAATAAACACATCCCTAAAAGAAAATTCAGATCGATATGGAACCAACCAAAATGGATGAATAATAGACTCTTAGATCTTCTAGGGAAAAAGAAAGGAGTATATAGAAAAGTTAAGAAAGGCGAAAATCACTTACTTGGTTACTATCAGAACCTAACAAGACAGGTAAAAGAGAAATTAGGGAAAGCAAAGAGAAATTATGAAATCAAGGTAGCAAACGAATCGAAAAAATAACCCAAAGCTTTTTATCAACTGTATAACCCAAGGTTAGAGATAACAGGTCCCCTTAAAACTACGACAGGAGAAATGACTGATGATGAGTTAGAAATGTACAATGTCATTTTCGCCCAGTATTCACAAATGAAACCTAGCACAGTTTCCAAGTTCATATAAGTATATAATGACAGTATAGAAAATATGTTGAGAATATCACACATTAGTAACGATGTGCTTAAAGTAATAATAAACTGAAGCTCATAAATCGCCTGGGTCCACAGACGAGGTGTATATAGAATATTGGGCAAGAATGTAGGAGATGAGTTGAGAATCCATTACAGTTTATTTAATAAGTCATTAAAATCTACCTAGTGCCAGAAGCTTGGAACTGCAAATGTAGTCTGATTTCAAAAGGGTGATAAATCAATAGCATCAAATTACCGTCCCATTAGTCTCACGTCAATCATAGGCAAGTTGCTAGAGTCAATTATTGCTACAAAAATCAGAAGCCACCTTGAAACATTCAACCTAATTCATTCTTCCCAGCACGGGTTCACCCAGGGACGTTCTTGTCTCACAAATTTGCTTAGCTTTTTCTCAGAAGTATATGAAGCGGTAGATAATGATAAGTCATATGATATAATTTATTTAGATTTCAGTAAAGCATTCGATAGAGTTCCTCATGAGAGATTGATAAGGAAGGTAGAAGCACATGGAATAGGTGGATCAGTATTAAATGGATTAGGTCATGGTTAACTGGTAGGAAACAAAGAGTCAGCATAAATGGATTAAAGTCAGACTGGGGTGCGGTCAAAAGCGGAGTTCCCCAGGGATCTGTATTAGGCCCTCTGCTGTTTGTTATATTCATTAATGATCTTGATTTAGGCATAACTAGTAGGATTAGTAAATTTGCAGATGATACCAAATGGGGAGAGTGATAAATTCAGACAGTGACTTTGAACACCTTCAAAGAGATCTAGATACCTTACATGAGTGGTCAGTAGACTGGCAAATGAATTTTAATACTGATAAATGCAAGGTACTACAGATAGGAAGACGAATACAAACGTTAAGTATAAACTAGGTAACACGGAAATAGAAAACCTCAGTTTGTGAAAAGATCTAGGTGTATTTGTTAGCAACGATTTGAAACCTAGAAAACAATGTATTAGCGTTCGCAACAAGGCAAACAGGATTTTGGGTTCATATCTAGGTCTGTGAGTAACAGAACTGCTGACGTTATCTTGAAACTTTACCTAGCATTAGTGAGGCCACACATGGATTATGCGGTTCAGTTCTGGTGTCCTTATTATAGAATGGACATAGATTCTTTGGAGAGAGTACAAAGAAGAATGACAAAAATGATCCATAATATTAGAAACCTTCCATATGAAGAAAGACTGAAAAGCTTAGGCTTACATTCATTAGAGAGGCGTAGAGTTAGGGGTGATATGATAGAGGTGTACAAGTGGGTAAGTGGGATTAACAAGGGTAAAATGGAAGATGTTCTGAAGCTCAGTAATAACGAAATAACTAGAACAAATGGCTTTAAATTAGATAAATCTGATTCAGAAAGGATATAGGCAAGCACTGGTTTGGTAATAGAGTTGTGGATATGTGGAATAGGCTACCGAGTGCTATAGTAGGATCGGGGACGCTAGGGAGCTTCAAGACGAAGTTGGATAGGCACATGGAAGTGCTGGGATGGGTGTGAAAGGGATCTGCCCTGTATGGGCCAGTCGGCCTCCTGCAGTATCCCACTTTCTTATGTTCTTATGTTCTTATGTTAAGTGGCACACCATTCGTGATTTTGTATATCAACTTCTTAGTGAAACTGACAAAGCCCAAAAAAGAAGGTTAAA